TGTCCATCAACTCCAAACAGGACACCATAAAAATCAATAATGCCAAGGTTTCCCCTTGACATTAAGTCAAATCGTGTCCGACTCTGGGGGGTGGTGCTCATCTTCATTTTTAAGCTGAAGAGCTGGCATTGTCTGTAGACACCTCCAAGGTCATATGGCCAGGATGACTGCATGGAGTGTCGTTACCTTCCCGCAGAAGTGGTACCTATTGGTCTACTCACATTTGCATGTTTTCGAACTGCTAGGTTGGCAGAAGCTGGGGCTAACAACGGGAGCTCACCCTGTCCATGTATTTGAACCACCAACATGAGGGGTGAGCTCCTATCAAACTATAGGCTGCATTAAATACTTGTTAAACAACTTTGTCTCCATTTCTTTTTTACTTAAATGTGTGCATGGCCCCATTCCTGACTGGGACCAACAGGCATAGATAGGGAAAAGTAAACCTTCCCTCCATAATTTTTTCCTGTAGAAAGAGGTAAATTTATAGCAAGGAGGACTAAATTCAGTGGACAAATGGATAGATGTGAACAGAACAAAACACACATGTAGTATAACTGCCTGTGGATCATGGGATCATAAAATCTTAGAGTTGGAAGGTACCATCTAGTCCAGCCCTGTGTCATGCAGTAATATACAACTAAAGCACTACTAAGAGATGCCCATCCAACCTCAGTTTAAAGACCTCCAAACAGTCCATCATCTATAATGGCAGTCTATTTCAGTTGGAAGACCTCATACAGTAACCAAGTTTTTCATTTGTACCTACTGGATATTTTGGTAAGAGGTTCTCTTTTTTACATGGTTATTTACAAGTGTGGACAGACCATGACATCAAAAAAGCTGACAAAGTATGAGCCCAGATGGTACATGCTAACTATATGCAAAACTGGAAATCATAGCCAAAATTCTATATTGGGAGATGGAGTTATTACTATGAAGCTCCATCATTGGAGTCATCATTATACCTACATTTTCAGCAGTGGAGCCCATCAATAGAAGGATTTCTGCTTGGTGTAATGATCATAAACATGAATTTCAAAATTTACAACCTCATAAGACCAGCTTATGTGATCATGAATACTGAACAGGATGCCAGTCATTCTCTTTCTACTTGGAACAGAATTATATCTTTAATTCCATGTGTCGGTCAGGGGCCCTGGTGCTGACCATAGATGGGCAGATTCAGTGTTCCTAACTCTTGTTTCCTTATGACTTTATTTAAGGTTCACACTTGGACTGAATGGCCCTTCAAATAGAAAACATGGTCAAAAACAGTTCTGCTCTTTCTGTGGCCAGTTTAACTGGAACTCTTCTTCAATCATCTTATCTTGTGCATTTGGCCTGCCTTTGTGTTCGACTTTTATTATGTGATTTTGCACTGTTTATTTTATCTTGTTATTTTATGTATTTTGTTGTGATGTAATTTTTCTGTTGTTTTGTATTTTATTTTGCTGTATTGTATTTTTGGGTTTGGCCTCGTGTTAGCTGCCCTGAGTCCCCTTTAGGAAGATGGTGGCGGGGTACAAATAAAGTTTATTATTATTATTTGAAGCACAAAAAGATGAGTCCACAGCAGACAAGGTCACTCTGCTGGCTGCTGTATTGGATTACACATCAGACACTTTCCAAGTGTCTAGGACTGTGTGATGTATCGGCAAATAAAGCGTGCAGATCCCAGTAAGGTGGCCTTCTGCAGCTGGCAGATGGTAATTTTGTCAGTGCCGATTGTGTTTAAGTGCAGGCCATGGTCTTTAGGCACTGCACCCAGTGTGCCGATCACCACTGGGACCCCCTTGACTGGCTTGTGCCAGAGTCTTTGCAGTTCAATCATTAAATCCTCATATCATGTCAGTTTTTCCAGTCATTTCAAATCCTCATATCGTGTTGTTGTTGTTGTTGTTATTGACCCAGCTAGATGAAAGATCTGCTTCAAACTAACAACGATATGGCATTATTTGTGTAGCTAAACAGATTTTGAGTCAAAACACAACCACTTTTTATGTACACTTTTGGTAGGAAAAAATACCACCCTTTTAGCCTTTTTTAAAAAACATCTTATCACAAGGTAGATGGCAATGCTGGACCTCGGATAATAACATTGCATGGCTGAGTAATACTCTAAAAGCATCCTATTCATTCTATCGGTCCTGATTGGCTGAGATTGTCAGGAAGGAACTCTGGGTGCGAAAGAAGTATGGGGTAATGCTGAAATAGCAGCCAAAAGTGTAATAATACCTATCAATATCTCCTCACACAACTACCCAGCATTTCTCATGAAATATGTCCCTCTCCTTGGAGAGGATTCTTCTCAGTTCTAAATAAAAAGATGGGAAAACCATATTATTTATTTATTTATTTATTTATTTATTTATTTATTTATTTATTTATTTAGATTATTTGTATCCCGTCCTTCTCAGCCCCCGAAAGGGGACTCAGGATGGCTTACAACTGGCAATCATTAGATGCCGACAAAGAAACAGAGCACAACAATTATCATGAACAGATCAACAGCAATAAAAATAAATTTTAAAAACGATAAAAATAAATTAAAAATATTGACCCTGAAAATATTAACACAACCAAGTCTGAGTCTGCAAATCCAAATCATAGTCCAGAGTTCCAGTCCAAGGTCTCTTCATTGACAATTCTCACAAGTCATTACAGATGTTGCTCAGCCAGCTACCCAAATGCTTGGTCCCAAAGCCAAGACTTGAGGTTTTTCCTGAAGGAGAGGAGAGAAGAAGTCGCCCTGATTTCACTGGGTGCATTCCACAGACAGGGGGCCACCACCGAGAAGGCCCTGTCTCTCGTCCCCGCCAATCGCTCTTGCAAGGGTGGTGGGATTGAGAGCAGGGTCTCCCCTGACGATTGTAAACTCCAAGGTGGGTCATAGAGGGAGATACTTTCAGACAAGTAAACTGGGCCAGAACCATACATTGGACTCCATTTTACCAAAATCATAATCATAATACAGGCTAACGCATATTTTAGTGTCTCAAATGTTAGACTTGTTTCTGGGTATATTTGATCTGCTCATTCCCAAAAATGGCACCAGTTTCACAGTATCGGCTCTAGTTTTTGAGATACAAATGCCACGCCATTTGCTCACCCATAAAGAATCACAATAACCATATCTAAGAAACAAGAGCTGATGTGGTCTTTCTAATACAATTTTTTGAGTCAGCACCCCCCAAAAAACCCAAGAATAGGCCTAAAAACCAAGACAACAATATACATTTTTGTCGTTTGGCTGTGTACATGCCATGCATGTATACTGATTGAGGCAAGGGTACAGAAAAGTGGCCCTTCAACTGTTTCCAGACTATAATTCCTATCATTTCTGAGCTTTGGCTATACTAGCTGGGGCCTGGGGATGATAAGAGTTGGAGGCCAACAACAACTGGAAAACCATTTCCGCCTTGTATTAAAGACTATTTGATACGATATTAATATTTCAGGTGACATTTACTTCTGTTTGACCAAAGGCTACATAGAGCACAAGTAGAGATCAAATGGGAGGTTACTACGCAGCTTCTTTGTGGGAAAGTCAATGTTTTGTGCTGGCTGCAGCTTACTGACAACACTCACCATTCGACGATTCCACTATCTGCAATCTAATTAACCCACACATATGTGTTTGCCATTTTAAATTAAAGTTCCAGAATACATCTATCATAGATTTGCAAGAAGTTTATTGAGAAATCAGTGGTATTGTGATGAATGATTATTTCTCCAGGGAATATATGGTGGAGATGGCACCACTTTGTACTTTCCCTCATTATTCATTATTATTCACAAGTCATTTTTATTTATCTTTTAGGTTTTATTTTTTCTTTCTTTCTCCAGTTTGTTACATAGTTTCCATCTGTCTCTATTCCAGTAACAGAAAACTGTCAGAAGAATCACCAGAAAGCAGAAAGTGGTAGGATAGCATTTGACAACACTGCTTTCCCCATCTGACAATTTAACTTCCTGTTATTTAACACCCCAAGTAATTTTATGAGTCAGAAGAACACAGCGACACATCACTGTCAACATGCATACAGCAAATTACTCGGAAAATGGCCAAGATGTTAATTCCATAAATAACATTGCAATACTACTTCCTCATCTTATTTCACTTGCTAAATAGAACAAAGCATTACCTATTCTTATTCAATGTGCTATGAAGCATTTTAATGAAGTGCTTAAGCCTCCAGATGTATCATTACAACCAGCCTCTATGTTGTGCACCATCAAGTTGTTTTATTGCAATACTAAAGTGAACCTGTCATGGGATTTGATGGGAAGATTTGTTCAGAGGGGGTTTGCCTTTGCCTTCCTCTGAGGCTGAGAGCATGTGGTGACCCAGTACTTTCCACAGCCAACTGGGGAGTCAAACCCCCATTTCCCAGAGTCCTCATCCAATATTCAAATCACTATAGCACCACTATTACTGCTTGCATAATATGGATATGGGGCTATGGGTGTATCTACACTGCAGAAGTAATGCAGTTTGATACCACTTTAAGTGCTATGGCTGAATGTTATGGAATGTTAATACACAAATGTCCTATTACTATAAACTTAAGCACAAATACCAATTGGAGTAATGAGAAAAATACCAAACCAATTCATATAATACACAAGCAAATAGGGATAATTTGCTACATAACAGTGTAACAAACATAATATTCATGTTTTTCAGAATTGTCAGATCTTCCAAAGGTGGACAAACTTCAACATATCCAATATTGCCCCGTGTGAATTCAAGATGTGATAAACAGTCTTGGGAATACAACAAGGTTCCTGGGTGTTTTTATGTCCTTGTTTCAAGAGGAGAGTATCCCTTCTTCAGGTTTCTTTCAAGATTCTTTCATTCATTCGTTTGCAATATCTTCTGAGACTTTATAAACTAAATCTAAAGAGGGCAAAATAATAGATATGCTACCAGCACCCTGTTACAATATTGTTTATATAATCCTTATATAAACAATTTGACACAATAACATACTTACTTCCACTTGCTAATGCTGCGAAATTTCTCCACAGGGTAGAATACTACTGGTTTCCATTAGCAAGCGATTCGGTCAAAGAGGCCACTCCCTTTCAAAGATTATAATCAGATTATAATTAGATTATATCAGCTAATTACAGGCAATTACAGAAAGCAAGTAAGATCTAATCTGTCATTTAAACCATGTGGGTGCACTGTCTGTAGCTTCGATATCCAAAAGGCTTTCCTCTGTAGTAAAATCCTTTTTATGTCTCCATGAGGTTTTGTGATGATCCTTTCTAGAGCACAGAATTTAAAACTAGTATAGGAATGAGATTTTTCAATGAAATGAGAGTAGAAGGTGGAATCTGAAGCTTTATTTTTTATACGCGAGCGGTGGTCAAAGATTCTGATTTTTAAAGGTCTCTTTGTCATCCCCACATAGAGGAGCCCACAGGAACATTGGAGTAGGTAAACGACAGAAACTGTGTTACATGTGGTAAAAGTTCGTAGTTGTATGTTGAATTTCAAGGCAGGATGTGTGAGATGTTTAATTTTGAGTGACTGCATGCAACAAATGCAATGTCCACAGTTAAAGTGGCCTCTAAGGTTGGATTTCTTAGTGATATTGGGAGTTATGCAGTCAGAAATAATTTGCATGTCCTTGAGGTTTCCCAAGCGTTTATACGCTATCATAGATAAGTTTTGGCATCCTGGGATATCCTTAATTAGGTGCCAATGTTTCCTCACTATTTTGTTGATTTCTGAAGTAAACTGTATCAAGATCAATGGCCAAACAATATGGTCAGTGTTTTGTTTTTGTTTTTTTTTGTTATATCTCTTAATAAGTCGCTTCTATCAATAGAGCTTACTTTTTTGATAGCTGTGTTGATGATTCTAGTTGTATAACCTCTCTCACTAAACTGTTTCTTAAAGATAGAAATTTCTGTTGTGAAATCCTTGGGAATACTGGTATTAGGTTTCAATCTCAGGAGTTGTGAAAAAGGTAAATTGGACTTCAATTTATAGTGGTGGAAGCTAGAGTAATGTAATATGGCATTTTTGTCAGTTGGTTTTCTATAGTTCTTAACTGCTAATTTGTTGTTCTTTTTAAATACTGTGACATCTAAGATATTAATACTAGTATGACTGTGGGTACTTGTAAATTTTATATTTTCATGTATTGTGTTGAGCCATTTGCTAAGTTGAATCGCTGACTCCTCCATTTTACAAATTAGAAAGACATCATCAATGAATCTCCCGTAATATATTATATCCTGCAGTAATCTGTTTTGAGTTTGATTCAAAAGCCACATTTTTTCTAAATTTGAAACAAAAAGATTAGCCAAGGAGGGGGCCAAAGGTCTTCCCATTGCTACACCAAACATTTGTAAATAGAACTGTGTTTGAAATCCTGATTGGTGAAGTAGAGTGGATACTCTTCAGGTTGTATGCTTTCCTTTGCGTTCTGATCTCTCTTTACTCTTGTGTGTTTGAAGAGTTGTAGTGTTTGGGGTGTTTTCTCTTGTTTTGGAACTTAGAATCTATGGAATAAGTAAGTAACTTTATTTTTATAACCTACCACCATCTCTCCATGGGACTAGAGGCAGCTTACAAGGGGAACGAGCCCAAAAATCACAGATAAAATAAAACACATTAAAACCAATCAAATAAAATAGTAAAACAAAACACAATCATAAACAACATCATAAAAACAATGTGGCTGAGGTAAAAGTCATAGCTGGGATCAGGCTCAATGAGTGCAATAAAAGAGAAGTTTAGACCCAATTCTTTCCTATCAAGGAATGTAGTTCTTATTTGTAAATACAGGTAAACATTTTTTGGTAACTTTAAAGGATGGAACCCTGCATTTTTGCCTGCTAATTTCAAAATTCTTTTGCCCCACACAAGTTGCCCCTCCTCAAAGTGACATCCTAATTTAACCAGTGCAATATTCATACATAAAACATGGATTTTGTAATGATGCAATAGCATCTTGAGGTGTAGAGGAGTACAGAAATAATTTTGACAAAAACAAAATCAAAATTAACTTTAAAAACTGAAAGATTGATGACAGATGATAACAAAGGAGAGGAGAGGTTGCATATTGAAGATGGAGCCAGCATGTGTTCTGCTGTCCCAGAGACTAGGAACTTCATCACATGCAAGCCCCACCCCCACCCCAATTTCTACACACTTCTAATACAGTTCAAAGACGAAGTACCATAGAGCCCTTCACATGACACAATAATATTTCCAACTATCATCTGTAGTGTTTTATAATTTAACTGTATTTAAACTGTTGGGAAACAGGAGGGAACAGGAGCCAAGGAGAAACCATCTTCTGAGGTCCTGATGTGCCTGGAAAGAAGGAGAAACATTTTAAACCACATGGGATGGGACCTGTCAGATTCACCCGTGTTGAATCGTTTCAGTGATGTGGAGGAATGGGCATTCCTATGAGTGGTCTCCTGCGCAGGAAAGCATAGGAAGAAAAGATTGTGGTGAAGGGGTTTAAAATTCCCCTGCTTCCCTTTCCCCCCACAAAATAGGATGAGACCCATAGTAATCTTGGCTTTCGAGATTGCACTATCATTAGATTTTTTAACTTTGTTTCCCCTCAATTTTGACATTTTCCCTGATTAAAAAAAAGAAAAGAATGCAGAGTGAGTGGAGACTCCACTTGCTTGTGTGGTCTAAGTATGACCAATTGGTTTAGTCATCTCAAAGATGTTTGAATGGCAACTCCCAGCATTCCTCCTCATTGGCTAAGCTATCAAAGGCTGCTGGGAGTTGCAGTCCAGCAACTCCCAGCAAGTGGGAAAAGTGGGATGGCAGAAGATTTATTAGAAATCTCGCTGCCAATCGGAGGTTGCACAAGCAATTGTCACATTTTACTAATTGTAGAACATGATATGTTCAGCTTTAGCGAAAGAATGAATACCAAGCAAACTTTGTATCAATTATGTCTGTATCTGATTGCACTTGATAAAGGACAATTTTTAAGAATGTAAGAGTATAAAATAGTAAGATCAGATTTGCATCTCATGCACTTTTCGTTATGGAAACAATTTAGAAGCAACAGAGCTGGGTTGTGCAGCTAATTGCTAATTTACATGTCCCTTTCCCAACCCCACAACCCCTTTTGGCACTTCCTCCTTCCAGTAATATCACAGCCATTGCTAATAATGTGGATCTGGTATTCCATCATGGTGTGTTATTACACACCAATGAACAAGATAGAATTAGAAAGTTGGCTGTCCATTGCTCCCAGTGGCTTTGTCACTTCTGACGATTGCATTTTCAATTCAAAATAATGATTATGGAGAGATAGAACACGCTGTGTCTTTTTTCCCTGAATGGGAAAGGCCATGTCATTTCAACAAAATTCTACTTTGCTGTTTGTTATGGACAGGTGCAATATTTGAAAATGTCCACAAAGCTTCATGCATGTCTGGTGGTGAAGTCAGCTATCCATGGGCTTTATTTTTGCTTCATAATGATGGGAGTGGGATTAGAATTGCGCATTGAATAAACAGTGTTTATTTGGGCAATTACTGTATATACTTGAATATAAGCCTAGTTTTTCAGTCCTTTTTTAAGGTTGAAAAACTCCCCCTCAGCTTATACTCAAGTCAAGGTTATTTATTTATTTATTACATTTATTATTTTTATTCTATTATTATATTCATTACTTTGCATTGTTATTATTAAATTTATTACTTTGTCATTATTATTATTACATTTATTATTCTATTATTACTGTTATTACAGTTCCATTATTTTACTCTATTATTATTATTATTATTATTATTATTATTATTATTATTATTATTATTAGAAACACAACAAGATGAGTCCACAGCAGACAAGATCACTCTGCTGGCTGTTGTATTGGATCACACGTCAGACACTCCCCAAGTGTCTAGGACTGTGTGATTGTGAGGTCAGGAGTATTGTGCTCCAGTCTGAATTCAGAAGTCCCAGAGAAGTTTGATGTGTTCATTTTCTGAAACTTTTTTCACCTTGTGATCCCACCAGTTCTTTGTCACAGGCAGATGGTATTTGTGGCACAAGTTCCAATGAATCATCTGAGCAATGGTGTTATGTCTTTGCTTGTAGTCTGTCTGTGTGATCTTCTTGCAGCAGCTGAGGATGTGATCTATTGTTTCATCTGCTTCCTTGCAGAGTCTACATTTGGGATTTGTCATTGACTCTTCAGTTCTGGCTTTGATGGCATTATTATTATTATTATTATTATTATTATATTTATTATTTTACTCTATTATTATTGGAAGGATATGTAAGCACATTTACATTGAAGAAGATTAAAATAATGGTTTAAACAGAGTTGGACAGTCTTATCTTAAATTATGGTTTTATGTAAATATTAAAAAACATTTAACCTACTGATTCCTCAGTTAAAGTAATTGTATTGGTTTTTATTTTTCCTTTTGAAATTTACCAGTAGCTGCTGCATTTCCCACACTCAGCTTATACGTGAGTAAATATATTTTCCCAGTTTTTTGTGGTAAAATAAGGTACTTCAGCTTATATTTGGGTCAGCTTCTACTCAAATAGATATGCTAAGTTTAGGAAACAGGTACTCTTTCTTGACTTCTTCCACCAGCTGAAACAAAATCTAGGAGAGTTGTGTAGCAATGCAGTAGATGCTAGGTGTTCTTGGGTTACCTTTCACCTAAAGGGGTTGTTGTGTGGGCCACAGCATTATTTTCCACGGATGACTCATAATGTGTATCAAAACAACCTTTAGCAGATCTTACCTTACTCAGCCTAGAGATTTTTTGACATGGTACCCTCACTCCACTCTACAATACATACTTGGCTAATATAACCAATTATGGTTGCAATTTACCTGGGGATCAGCCTCAACCAGAAACAAAGAGAATAGCACTGAGAGTAATAGATTATTGAACTACCTCTGGTTCATGTGGCAAGCATTTTGAAAAATCTCCACAGCCAATTCCTTAATGTCTTCTGAAAAACCCTTTACCAGTCAAAAGGGAAAAGAGATTC